ATATTTGAAACAAGATCCTTTATTCGTTGAAAATCCTCATCTTCCTTTTGTGTCCATAACCATTCGACATCTTTTCTTGTTAATCTTCTTAGATTTTCAGCTTCCATAGATAGATTTCTTATATACCTGGCTAAGTACGTTACCATTCCTAGAAAACGTTGTAGATCTCTCTTATTTTTTGGNTTTGGTATATGTTTTATTGCCTCCGTTTTTGAACTATCTGGTTTTACTCCCTCACTTGTTAGAATGTGTCCAAAAAATTTTACTGATTTCTGGCATAAATGGAGCTTGTCCTTATTTAATTTACAATTGTTNTCTTCTAACCGAACGAGCAAATTCTCTAGATTTCTGTTGTGATCCTCCATTGCCTCACTCGCATTGTCTCCGCAGCCATAAATAAGAATGTCATCCACAAGGATTTCTATTCCCTTTAGGCCATGTGTTACTTCTTGCATCTTCTGTGTGAATATTTCGGGTGCTGGAGAGATACCAAAAGGTAACCTGANCCATCTGTATCTTCCAAATGGGGTCCAGAAAGTTGTAAGTTTGCTACTTTCTTCACTCAACTTCAGTTGCCAAAAGCCTNTCTTAGCATCTAGCGTCGAAAATATCCGTGCCTTACCTATTTCAGGTAATACTTCCTCTAATGTAGTAAACTGTAAACGAGGTCGTTTTAGCGCTGTATTTAATGGTATTGGGTCAAGACAGATTCTTAGCGAATCATCCTTCTTTTTTACAATAAGAATATTACTCACCCAATCAGTGTGCTTTTTTTCTTGTTTTATTATTCCATCTTTTTCTAATCTGCTCAGTTCCTTTCTTAGATTATGTTTTAAACTAATTGGTACACGGCGTGCAGGTTGTATAGTTGGCTGAACTGTATCATCCACTTCTAGTGTGACTTCTCCTTGTAATTGACCATATCCCTGGAAAATTCNTGAATGCCGACGTAGAATGTTTTCTGCTTCCTGTTTTCCTTTCACAAAAATTCTATCTTGTAAGTGCGAATCCTCGCTATCCTTTTCTATCTTGAAACAATACTTTATAAGTCCTAACGCCAAACACGCTTTTTCAGACAAAAGGGCTCCGTGATCTACATTCACGATCTGAAACACCAGACAATATTTATGTTTCTTGAATTCACAAAGGACGTCCACTTCACCTAGTATTTCAATATGTTGTCCACCGAAACTTTTCAACCGACTTGTAGTAGNTCTAAGTCGTGGTTGTTTTTCTCCCGTCAACCTGCAATAATTATTAACTCCCAAGACGTTGGCGTCAGAACACGTGTCGAGATCACACGGTATAAATTGCCATCTNCCTCCTATTTTAAGTTTCAGTTCAGTCCTACCTTTTCTTCTCTCATTGCTGTGCTGTTTCAACTTATAGATTTTAAGTTGATTACCATCCTCTTCTTCAGATTCACTTTCTGAGTTTTCTTTAACTTCTTTAACTGTCTTATTATTACTCTTCTTATTATTAGATTGATTTTCCTTTCTTTCTTTTTTTTTACACGCTTTTGCAAAATGATTTCTTGCTTGGCAATTCGTGCACACTTTGCCCCAAGCAGGACAAAGTTCTTTCTTAAACTCATGTTTGCCAGCACAAAAACGACAAATTTTCTTATTATCCTGGGTCCTTTTCTCAATTTTATTGATTATTCTTTCTTCAGAGTTTATTACCTTAAATCGTCTTTCCGTTAATTCGCTAGTCTTACACTCTTGTCTTAATTTGTCTAGCGTAAGTGTATCTGGATCCTCACGTAGAAACTTCTTTTTCAGACTTATATCCTTTATTCCAAACGCTAACCTATCACGTAACATTGTCTCAGACGTTACGTTCCCATTGTACTTGCAGACTTCCAAAATTTTCTTTAGTCGCAGATAGTAATCGTCAAAGCTTTCATCTTCAAATTGGTTGCAGGTGTGAAAAGTGTATCTGTCATACAACAAATTTCGATCCGAAACCAGGCTTTTCTTAATAATATGAAATACATTTTCAGCATTGGTTTTATCCGTTTCCATAAGATGGAAGTTCGAGTATTTCTTCTTAGCTTTATCACCTATGACTGACAANAGAATATTAATTTTTTGTATTTCCTGCGTACTGTCCCACTTATCAATACCTGTTGCTGCACAGTATGTATCCCAACTTAGTCTAAAGTGTTCGAAATTTTCCGTAATGTCACCCGAATCTACTTCCAGAGGTTGTGGCCAAGGTACACTTTGTATTATTTGGGAATTCCTGGCATGTGTGAAAGTACTTACATCCAAACTAGGTATCTGTTGCTGTCTAGTATGTTTCAATTGTTCGTTAAGTTCTTGGAAATTTTTACCGATTGTGTCAAAGATTGCTGCATTGTTCGCAGCGGCCCTTAAGTAATCCTGTTGCATTTGTGTAATTTGCTTGCTCTGTATTTCCAATAATTGTGCGAGTGATTCCATGTTTTCCGTTACTAACCTCAAACTTGATGATTATTAATATCGTCTATCTTTCGTATGGTTATTCGTGTAATCGATATTTTATTGCACATAGAGAACCACTTCTGACACCATGTTATATTTGGCAGGGACGACAAATATATGTTGATAATTGTTTATTGAAACAGTACATCTGTTGATATGTTTAACATAAAGAATAGGAAAAGAACTAACTAAAAAACAAAGTATCTATATCTTATTACATGAAAACTAAAGGTGTCGCCACCTAATGCCTTCTACAATCACAGGCGCCAGCCATTTGAACACAAACGACACAGTATAACAGTTTCAATCGCTGGTTTTAGCCGTATTTCCACAAAAGTGGAACTCAAAGGACGTTCTCCATGAAACTCAAGTCGCAGGTCTCGTGGAACTGATCAATCACGTTGGTCGATTGGCTGATTTGACTCTGCAATTGGTCAATTCCACGAGATCTAATACTTGCGTTTAATGTAGAACGGCCTTTGAGTTCCACTTTTGTGGAAATACGGCTAAAACCAGCGGTTGAAACCGTCGTAAGAAACTACAATGGCATGGCCGCTCTCAGGTTTCTCTCTGGTATTATCACCGACAAAGAAAGAGAAGAAAGGAGAAAGAACGATGTCGTTAAAGGGATAGTGGAGGAGAAAGAAATAAAAATGATAAAAGAGGATCCGAAGAGATGGGCAACGTTCTTTTTCAAAACAAAGTTAGGGTTGGATTGCAACGTGGAGTTCGGCAGAGTGAGTAATAAAGTAATTGTAATAAGATTGAGTAGTGAAGAAGAAAAGAGAGCAGAAAACAAAAACAAGCAGAAAAGAGAGAAAAAATTCATCCAGAAGGACCTGACATGAGAGGAAAGAAAAATCCAGAAAAAAATATACAAGTGGGCTAAAGAAAAAAGAGAGAAAGGAGAAGAGGTAAAAATAGGAAAATAGGAACAGGAAAAGTAAAGAGTAAAGGAGACAATGGAGAGACATACAAAAAAAATGGAGGCGGGAGAACGGAGAAAGGAAGAGGACAAGGAGGTTAGAGAGGAGGAAAACTAGAGGGAGGCCAAGAAGAGGAAACAAAAGAAAGAAAACCGAGGAAAGTAAAATCGAAGAAAGTTTTATTCTGGAATGTTGCAGATATAGGAAATAAAGATTTAGATTTTTGGAATTTTGTAAAAACACGATTTCCTAGGCTTAAGTGAAACATGGATTATCGAAATAGGATGGAAATGTGTGAGAGACAAACTACCAGATACTCACGTGTGGTTTTGTAGGCATGCAACAAAGATAAGAGGTAAAGGAAGAGCGAAGGGAGGTTTAATAGTTGGATTAAAGAAAGATTGGAAAAAAGATCGTTGGGAGATAGTGGAAACGAGATGTGAAAACATATTACATATAAAAAAAGAGAAAGAGAAAGGAAATTTAAACATCATCTTGATTTACAACAGAAGATACAAAAGCAAAAAAGTAGGAGTAGCTATTGCGAAGATAACGGAAAGGTTTGAAAAAGAGTATATAATAGTAGGGGGAGATTTCAATATAAGGACTGGAGAGTTAGGTGGAAAACACGAGGAAAAAGTGGAGAGGAAAAGTAAAGATAAAATAATAAGTAATGGTGGAGACAAATTCATAGGAATAATGCAGGAGAACGGGTTAAACATTCTAAATGGTAAAGTTAAAGGTGATTAGAAAGGTGAATTCACCTATGTAGGAGGAAGAGGTAATACAGTAAGTGACTATGTTTTTGTAAATGAGCCGATAATGAACAAAATAGTAGATTTTAAGGTGGAAGAAAGAGTGGACTCGGACCATATGCCAATCCGTTTGAGGATAAGCATGGAGCAAGATGAAGATAAAAGATATAAAGGAAGAACAGGAGAGGAGGAGGTACAGAAGGAAAAGAAAGTTATCTGTTGGGACATCGAGGCAATAGACAGTTTTATTGCAAATACGGAAGAAATAGGCTGGACGGAAGAGAAGGAGAAGATGAGTCTAGATTATACATGGAAGAAACTAAAAGAGCTAATAGACAAGGCAATGATAAAAAAAGATATCAAAATTAAAACTAAAAGAATAGGATTTAAGGAATGGTGGGACAGAAGCTGCACAAAGATGAAAAGGGAAACCAAGAGGAGTTATAAAAAATGGAAAAGAGATAAAATAACGAGGAAAAAATACTTAGAACAGAGAAAGGAACGGAGAAGATATATTGAAAAGAAAAGAAAAGAGAAAAGAGAAAAAAAGAGAAACCACTAAAAATGATTAAGACGGAAGCAGAGGTATGGAGGTTTATAAACAAAAGGAGAAAGATAAGAGAAGCGAGAGAGCCAAACATAAAGGTGGACGAATGAAGAAAGCACTTTGCGAATCTGTTAGAAGGACAGGAGACGTGTGAGGTAGAAGAGGATAATGGGAATAAAGAATGGAAAAAAGAGGACGAACAAATAAAAGAAAAGGAGCAAGTGGATGACCCATCGGAAGAAGAAATAAGAAAAGTTGTGAAGAAAATGAAAATGAAAAAGGCAGCGGAAATAGATGGCATTCCAATGGAGGCCTGGAGACTAGGTGGAGAAACAGTAAAAAAGAGATTGATTGAGGTAATAAAAAAGGCATGGTGCAAAGGAAGGATACCGGAGAAATGGAGAAAAAGTATAATAGTCCCTATATACAAGAGAGAGGTGATCACAATGTCGCGGCAAATTAGAGAGGGATATCTCTGCTGTGTACTGCATATATATTATACGCGGAATTGATAAGAAGTAGATTAGAGCAAGAAGTAGAAGAGAAGGAAATGATCCCGGAAAACCAGGCAAGATTTAGAAAAGGAAGATCGACCTTAGACAATATATATGTGTTGAATCATTTGGTTCAGAGAGAAAAAGCCAATGAGAAAGGGAGAGAGAAGTTATACGCACTGTTCATTGATCTGAAAGCAGCCTTCGACAAAGTAGATAGGGAGGTGTTGTGGAGAATCTTGGAAAAGAAAGGAATAAGTGAGGGACTGACAACGAAGCTGAAGAACATCTACGCGAGAACGGAAGTAGTGGTAAGAATTACGAAGGGTCTTACCAGAGGATTTAAAGTGAATAAGGGAGTAAGAGTGTGTAGTAAGTCCAACGCTGTTTAACCTATATATTGCGGACTTTGAGGAAAAATTGGCGAAGAGAAATATAGGAGGAGTTACGATTGGAAATAGAAGAATTTGGTCGCTTGCCTATGCAGATGACATCGTCCTGTTAGCGAAGAACAAAACAGCTATGGAAGACATGATGGGCAGGCTGAAAAGATTTTTGAAACAAAGGAAACTGGAACTCTGTGCGGGTAAATCTAAGTTAATTGTGTTTAATAGCAGGGGTGGCAAAGATAGCGATCAAGTTAAATGAGAAAATAAAAATATAGAAAAGGTTAGGTGTTTTAAGTATTTAGGTTTTACGTTTAATAGGAAAGGCGACAATGATCACATTAAGGAACTCAGTAGAAAAGGGAGGATAGCGGTAAATAAGGTATGGAGACTGGGAGAAAAAATCTGCAAGAATGATTTTAAGAGAAGGTGGATACTCTTTAGATATTTAGTGCAAAGCGTTATGTCCTATGAAGTAGAAATATGGAGTTGGGAGGAGAAGACAGAACTAGAGAAAATTATGTTGGATTATATAAGATGGATATTCAGATTAGACTTTTGCACCCCGAAATATGTAATACGTAGAGAGTTAGAAAAGGAAAAGTTGAAAATTAGATGGGGAACAAGAGCACTGAGATACAATATTAAGGTAAGGGAATCAAGAGAAAATAACTTAGTCAAGCTGTGTAGGGAAGAGAAAAAAGTGCGAAAAAATAAGGACCAATATAGCAAAAAGAAAGAAAGGTATTTAAATAGAAATGGGTGGGGAATAGAAGCTTTAGAAAATTTACTAAACTCGAATATAGATTTAGAGATGATGATGATAGAAAGAGAAAGAGATATACAAAAACAGATAGAGGAAAGTCAAATAAGAGAGGCAAGATATAATATTAGATATAAGGAATTATGTAAAGAGGAAGATTATCCTTGTTATCTGCGAAAAGAGAGTCAGGTAGAGGGTGAGGAAGGAGATCGAGTAAGAGCATTAATAAGAGTAAGATGTGGGAATATAGAAGAAAACAATAAATATTGGCTAGAAGAGGGAAAGAAAAAGTGTATCTTCTGTGAGAAAAGGAAGGATGATATAAAACATTATGTGAAGGATTGCGAGATAGTTAAGGAATGGTTTAATAAGCTAGGTAAAGACAAGAGGGAAAGAATTGAAAGTATTTATGATGATAATCTAGGAAAAGAAAAAGGTAGGGTACTAGTAAGGTTATAGAAAGAAAAAGAAAAAAGACTCAGAGAAAAAGAAGGTAGAAAAAGAAAAATAAAATAAAATAAACTCTAGTCAGAGGATGTGGAAGAGGAAAGAGAGGTAGATTAACTAATTAAAAGAAAGAAAATTAGGAAACGTATAAAGAGTATAGAAGAAACTAATTTAAACTAAAATAAGATAATTAAAGAATCTTTTTCGGCTCTGAAGTTTCTAAACTAATAAATATATATTCGGTCATAGGAGCCGTTCGCTAGGTGTTGTGCGGAAATTATACGTGTATATATATCCATATATACGTGTTCACATGTAAATTNCACATGTAAATTTTTACACGTGAAATACGAATTGAAATAACAATTCTTAAATTCATATTGGATGCTATACTTGCATCTCATATATGAAAAATCCCAAATACCCCCCTAATTGAAATTAAATCCTATGACCGAATATATATTTATTAGTTTAAAATAAGATAATTTAAGTTAAAATAGTGTAATATAAGATGGTGTCGTGGAGCTCAATATGTTTGCAATATGTTATATATGTAATATGTTTGTGAGGCGGGGATTCTATGATTTCGTGATTTTAAGATGATTTAATTTAAGTGAGAATTAAAGTTAAAATTAGAATTGTGTCTGTGATATTTTGTATT